TCCCCCACAAACACACACACACACCCACCACACACATACACTGCCAACCCCACCCCACCCCACCCACAAACAATCCAGCTCATCCCACAATTCACCTGAGGATAAAGGCCCGCAGTCAACACGGCCTTCACCATAGCCATAGAGGACGGGTCAAGGTCATTTCCCGAGGGTGCGTGATCCGCTATTTTTAGAACACCGTGGGCGGACAACTGCGGCTCTGTTCCTCCAAGCCGCGAGGCAGAAGAAGCCCCGGCTACGTCGTCAAAGCCGATGGTTCTGATCAGTTTGATGAGATCTTTTTTCACATTCTAGGGGGAAAAAAACCCAGAATCTATTGTCAGAAACAAAAAAAACCAGGATTTTTAACAAAAAACAGAAACAAAAAAAACAGCATCTTTGTTTGTTTCTTTTTTTTTTTAGTAAGTGTTTTAAGGCACTTGCAACACAATAAGGTTATATATAAGTGTCGAAGATTAGAGGTGCTACAAGAGAGTAAAAAGTTGTTCCCGCATCCGATCCGGACATTGGGGATGGCCTTGTTAGTGAGACAACTTCCTGGGCCTTCGGCATATTGTGGTAGGGTGGCCAGTTCCTTTCCATGCCGCCTTTACTTCCCCAACTCGAAGTCAGGTACCCATTACTGCTGGGTGGGCAGGAGGGGACGAAAAAAATCCATGTCCGAACCGAGGCTCGAACCCGGACTTTCCGCTTCGGAGACGAGCGCACTAACCACTCCGCCACTGCACCCTCTACAAGAGAGTAACATACACAAAAAAGGAGAGGAGAATAGATAAAGACGATAGATGTTTGATGGGAAAGAAGAAGCAAATCACACCAGAACAACCACCGACCACCCACTGGTCAGAAACGAAACAATAGAATCTGTTGTCAGAAACAGAAAACAGAATCTACTGACTGTCAGTTAGTTTTAGTAAGAGTTTTACAGCACTTACGACACAATAAGGTCATATAAGTGCCAAAGATAAGAGGTGTTACACAAAAAAAGGAGGAGAAATCAGGACAATAGGTGTTTGATAGAAAAGAAAAGGAGGGAGCAAACCACACCAGAGTAACCGCCAGCCACCTGCATCATCTACTGTCAGAAACACAATTAGATGGAACAACTCCCGCCTGAACCTTCCAGAACTTGAACCTCATAACAGTGGGGCGG